ACGTCCTCCAAGCCTATGGAGCCGACCCTCTGCTGTGCCGGGGAGAAGTGCATGAGTCCAAGACACACTCCAAGGTCAGGTTCCTGTTTAGTACAGGAACGGATTTCAATGGGCTGATGAATGCCGAATTAACATAAGTAGTTCGTAGACAGAAAGCCACCCTTCAATAAATGCTTAACTCATTTTATGTAGGTCATTTAAGTATCTCTTTTTGATTTTTTTGCGATAAACAACTAGCTTACAATCAACTATTTGTTTTTCATTGAATTTACACTTTACAGAAAAATCGTCCTCCTATCCAAATTCAAAACGGCTGATTGCTTCATGGGATAGAACTAACTGGGATATGAGTTTGCCGCATATCTGTTGATTACGTCGCAGTTGCCATTATTTGGCTATTAACACATCGAAAAATGTAGAAATAAACAAAATATCAATCATCAGCCAACAGAAATCTTACCTGGCAGCCCTGCACCTCTTGAGCTTGAGGGTGTGCCTTTTCCTGCTCAGAAGACGCTTTCCACAGCCCTCCAAAAATGATCACGAGGCTCATTTGTAATTTTTACTAGGGCATCGAGCTCTACTCGAGGATTGGAAACAGGTATGATTGATTTTCGAACTACATAAAATCTAAAGATTAGGAGAAAACCTAGAGACAACAGTAGACACGGCTTCCGTACTATCCACTGCCAACGCTATCACTAGTAACACGTGCCACTTTTTCTGGCAGACGCAAAATACGTTTACGTGCTCGAGACCTAACGAAAACTGGACGTTTCTGTTCCAGCAAGGTCAACATGTGCACAATTTGTCTCCGTCTCGCAAACAAAGTCTTCGGCAAAACTCCCGTAAGCAATATACCAAGTTTCAGAGAGGTGAAGCTGATCAAATGTAAACTACCCGTTGCCACGCTGGCCATATGAACAAGTTGAGTATTTTTCTTATTTAATTTTAAAACTTCGTTACTTTTTGTAGTTCATTAACTTGTTGTTGACGGCATAATTATTGAACTATATACATCAAGTGCGTAAAATTATCGTTTTTGCTAGCCTCTAGTTGAATTCACCATTATCTATAGATCGAAAAATATTCCTTAGCAAGCCATTTGCATGGTACCTAGTCAAGGGGAACTGAACGAAGCCATTAGCATACAGACGTATGGTTAACGAAAAACTTATGATACAAGCTTTCTTGTGCTAAGCGTTAAGCTAACACGCTTGCGTATCATATGCTTGTCATTGGAATAAGGCCAGCGACTGTTTCAAGTTACCACGTATTAGCTGCTCGATTGTCCTCGTCAACAATACAGCTAATAAGGCGCGCAAGACGAACCGGTTAGCTATGATAAAACCAACCAAGTAAAGTCCAACTAAATAAAGCAATGTATGTCGGATGCAAGAGTTTGACCACTGAATTATTTTAGAATCTAACGCGTAAATCACTTGGGCTTGGCTTCTAGGTATCTGCAACGGTAGGATGGGACTTTACCTAACACTCTCTAACCACTGTAGAAGAACACACTGAACACAGACGCTTCTCTATCTTTCACTTTTAATTGGCACTTGTTCTTAACTTATTATTTCGTCCCTGAACATGTAGTTACTTAAAATTATAGCGATGTTGATTAAAAGCGAAATATTAAAGAAGTTGCATTCGAAAAGAAGCCCAGTACGGTAAAGCAAGTGTAGTTAGTTTATGACAACTGAGCTCAGAGTATGCCCTTAGAGGGCGTGTTTTGAACACTGATTCATTATTAGGCTGCCAGCATTTCCGTGATAATTAGTAATGCAAACCGAAACATCTTGTAAACGTTCGAACTAAGCAGCTAAGACGAAGTGTACAAAAAACATACCGCGTAAAATTAAACATCTATCGATTTTTTCATCTGAGATAAAATACCCAGGTTTATCATAAATTCAGACGACTGGACCTAGCTTGTGTTGATCGATTCATGATAACGACTTTCATACGATATGGCCTTATAGCGTTAACTCAAGCCCAACTTGCAAGAAACTGTCCGGTCAAATTGTACTTTCCTGGTGTCAGTGGTAGTAAATTGCTAGTATAAGCGAATCAGCTACAGATCCAGCTTTGTTGGGACACCGCTAGATAATAGAAAACTGGCTGTCGTTTGTTTCATGTCGTATTCTTATGAAAATGTAGTCAGATTTACGGCTGTGTAGTATGAATTTTCGGGTTAGATCGTCAACATACGATTGTTCCATTGTGGCCATTGTATGGCAGGAAATAGCCCCGCACGTATTTAACAATACAATCGCCCAACCATATATACAACGTTTCTGGGTATTTTCACAACCGGTCGCCTTATCTTTTAAAGGCAGGTATAATCTGTATTGATTCATCGGCTGAACGCTATGTGAGCAAGACATTTTCACGGGTGTGATCAATAGGGTTTTACGAACCTGATAACCCGAATCGAAGTCTATGTAAGTAGAAATAAAGAAAACAACTGACAGGTAGTAATCACGGTGTGCTGGGCCCTTGACAATATATCAATGTGTATGTATCTTCACTTGTTGTGAAGTCGAGAACTCCATAAATACTCACCCCTCACAGATTTCTTTTGATAAGTTATCAGAGCATCCAGAACTTTTCCCATAGCTAACTCGTAGCTATCTCCGTTGTACAACACGTTTTACAAAAACGTAGCTTAACATTATTTTATGGATTTATCGGGCTACGGGGGCTTAACGCAAGTTATCTGGGGGATCAAGCAAGGAAAGAGATCACCATATTGATTTTGCTTACCATTGTTCGTATCTTATTGACAGGTTAAATTGCGTCGATGCCCAGATTCGATTTCAGGCCACCGTAGTAAGATAGGCAAAGTTCGGATTAAATGTCCCAGACAGGTGATTTCAACATGAAGATGTCTACCTGAGTATAACAATGACGCCAATGAAATACTAATATGATGTAATACAAAATTATGGGTGCTGAAACCACTAATATAATGTGACTTCGTGTCTATCCAGTTTTCCGTCCCTTGGGCATTAACCGACTTCAAGCCTACAGATTGAAACCAAGGCAATCGACGGGCGAGCTACTCCTTCGCTCTCATGCTTTGATAATTAGCCGTAATTATATGCGTGTTTGTTCAACGAAAATACTACGACCGAGCCTGTCGATACCCTCATTCGCCAACTTGCAAGCGGTTCACACCGGCAAGTACTTCTGGTGGGAGGGCAACTGTACGCAGTCGATAAATATCATCGTGGATCAAGAAGGTCAGTGTCCCAATTAGATACAGAAATGTGTTATATTAATCATGACCTACATGATAGATTAATATTTCATACATACAAATTAAACTAAAGCCTCTTGAAAGTTTGAGTAAAAATTCATTCGTCAGGTCGTTCTTCATTTTATGTCTTCACAGTATATATAAACATACAGTATGTATGCTGTACATATAGGTATATAAGATGTAAAGTATTAAGTTGGCGAGTGATTTTGTCACTCGTTTCTTAGTCATTTAAAATATTTTGATCTAAATTATGTGTACGATGGAGTCTCAAAGACAGAGTGACAAAGCAGGATATTATGCAAGGTAAACTGCATTCTTTTTAAAGCGATGCGGAAGAACATCTATGAAATAGAGAACTAAAAACTTATCGACCGCAGCAGGTAAACCTCAGAGCAGGTAAACCGATTCTTTAATTTAACTGCCTCTGCCAAAATCTTTTTGTTAAAATTTTTATATAAAATATTTTTTGAAACCGTCACAGTATACGTCATTAGATTCTCGCTGCATCTTGAGGTTATAAACTAGGTACCTCTTGCTTTGTGAACAAATTTACACCTATCAACCCGTTCTCGAAACTTATTTGGAGTACTAATTCATTTTAGGCATATCTGTACGAACGGATTATTAATTTTTAACAAAAGTTACATATTTTTCTTCATTAACGCAGGTTGAATACTAACAAGTATATGGATATGTTCTAAGACACTTAAGCATAATATATATGTGTATGAAAGAAACATCACATTGGTTTAGTCAACTAACTCACATAAAAGTCATTAAATACGTTCAATATATCTGCTGTTATAACACTGCTTGAGGAAGCAATCAATAATTCGATTTTCTTTTTCGTTATAATAAGCACGACCTTCAAAGCATCAACACTTAACTTCACCGAAAAAATATTAAAATATAGCTACTAAAGAGAAGCATCATAATTTTTGTTTGCAGAAATATGCTCCTTCCTGTGTACATATCTAGGCTTCATCTTCGACGCGATAGTTGTTTTAAGTATAAAAAAACAGGTACTGGGTTCAACCTCGTACTGCCACAAATATATTTTACATAAATTATGAAAATTGGTGTGCGGTTTACAGAAGAAATTCGAGCCATAAACACAATATATGTAAATGAGTACATTCAATCTACATCACAAATAAAGCATCGCTAACGTTACATACAGGAAACGCATACTTCTCAGACTGTTGCGGTATGGTCTAGCTTTTAACAATTCAATTTCAACGTAAGGACAATAATGCAACCCAACTTCCTAATGTTAACGTGTCCACTATACGTCTGAAAAAAGGACGTTCATACTTGCCGAATTTCCCTATAGCTATTAACACTACGCAAATTGATATTAAAAAGAAAACGTTGTTCATTCTAAAACGAGCACGATGCCCTGAAGCCAATGCCATTTAAGTTTCCAGCTACAGTGTGCATCAATCCAAATCACAAACAAAACTCCTTTATTTTTGCAATGTTCATATTCGATCTACTTAGCCGATATTTAAAACGGTTCATAAATGTCATTGGCACAGTTTAGTGCTCCATTATGTTGATATTAGAAGTTGTTCGTCCAGCTGAGGTTCGGCGTTGGGCCCGAACGAGATATTTTGGCGCGTCCTGAGATCTTAGCAGACGACAGTCTTAGAGTGAGAGCAAAGAGGCCACCATATTTGTTTATCTGCGCATGCGTCGCCATTTGAAAACTGAAAGCGCTATTCGAATTTGATTTAAGCGGTTATATGTGCCAAACAAGTGGAATGGCGATTGATCGATCGAAAAATATTTCACTCACATAAGCGAGCTCAGTATACCATTCGCACATTTGTGTTATTCTCTTGCGTGCATTTTTACCGTACTACTGTGAGAGTGGTTGTGCTAGGGAGTTTTTGTGTGTTTTTCATGACTTTAAATTGAATTTTATCAGCGAACATGGAGCACGCAGAGTTCGATCCAGTAAGTTCCGCCTGTTCAATTTTTCTAAAAGAAATTTCATCCGAGATTCTATAATGGGAACACAATACGTGCAAGGCTTCTAATAACAACTGTTAGAAGAAAACTTATCTTCATAGCACACTATAATAAACAAATTTACTAGCGACCGTTATCAGCTGAACGACTTGTTCGTAACGACTGTGAATTAGATCTGCTGCAACTAAGCATGGTCGCACCTGATCATTTGACAATGCCTAAGTAATTATAAGAATAAGGTGTATTATGTGTATTATAATCTGTTATTTAAAATTAGCGACCGTAAAAGTCATTACGTAATATAATTATTTACTTTCAATTAGCAGTTCAGAAATACTCTGTTTATTATTATTTAAAGTTTAATTTTAAAAATCTTGCCATCTGTGAAACGTCAAAACTTGAGTCGTTATGACTTCTTAATTTTAGTTTGTAACAGATTGTACCGATAGATAAGTAGAAGCGTTAGGATATCCCCGAACTATCAAAGCTTAAAGCAGGTTGCAATTGATGTCTTGCGTTTGAAAAAAAGTAAAGACTTTACAATTCCAGGCTTTACTTCTTTTCTACATACCCTAGAAGTCGATATGATCCTCTAATATCTATATTAGTATATATTCATTTATCCTTGACCAAAGTTAGCTGAAATGTGAACTTAACCGACAAAATGAAAGAAAATTTGATTGATAAAGTGATGATAAGGAAGTGAGAAATAAGGAATCGTTAACTGTTACGCCAACACTGAGGTGTAAGCAAGGCCGATAGGTCCGAATGGTTTCCACGCAACTGCGATCAATTCACAAATTTATTCAACTTTTACTCTTGGCCGCCATGTGAGCCTCGTAATATAAGGTGGGCTTATAATATGGGAATTTAGTAATATTTTGATTTTTTTTCGAGTTATATACATATATATATATATATATTTAGCAAAATTTTTCATGATATCAATAACGTTCAAAAAATAATATACTTTAAGGACTACATAAGGAATATGGTAGTTAGCGTCGACAGCGCATACTTCTAGCAATTTATGTATTAGATTATAACAAACGAGGCAAGATTGTTCAAATATTTTTTTTATAAGGATGCGAGTACCAGGAGCAGGTGCCAATGAAATCGTGTTATTAGCTATATTATTATCTTATTTACGAAATTTTGTCCTCCTGTGTGAATTCACAATATAGAGACTAATTAGCTTTCAGAAGATGTGATTATACCTGAGTGTTATTGCTAATTTATTTGAGAAGATTTATGAAGCAGGGTCTTGCGGAGTAAGTCCATTAAATGATCATTGCCTCTGAGTGAACATGTTATATCTAAATTAGAGTCTTGAGCGTCATACGGACCTGCCGGAATATGATATCTACTCCTGTCAAGCGCACGTGTGAGAAATCGAGCGTTGACCAGTCAAACCGAACTCGCTCGGCAGTTCTAAGCGTTTCTCAGAACGCAGATTTATTTGGTGATCAAAAATTATTGCATTATCATAACCGCATGGACAAATGGCAAGAGTCACCTTAGAAGATGGAGCATATCGCTTGGCAGCACCAAGCAAACGTTTTATTTCGATGTGCCAATGGCAAATACTTTTAATCATTTAAGTGATTAGACAATTACAATATTCATTAGAATTTTTTTTTCATTAGACCGAAGATGGGTCGGTGCTTTAGGAGATGACAAGTACATTTTTAATTCACTTTTTTAAAATGGCAAGTATGATTGAAACTAATGAATTTATATGACTAACACCCGTCAATTTATGATGTGGAAAAGAGGGTCAGCTAGCTGTCGTACGTTGGGTAGAGGGGTGCACAGGCAGTTACCGGCTTGAAATGATAACCTAGACTTTATACGTATAAACTGGCGAATTTAATCGGACTTTGAATGAAATATAAGATATTTTACTTTTTAATTAAGTGCGGCTATGTAAGCACATTGAGTTGATAGTTACTACGGTAATTTCTAAGTTCTAAACATTTTAAAGAAAACGACCTGTGTCCAAGTATTTTGGTCTAGAGAATGGGTACGTTTGTTTGATTTAATAACAGCGATGTCGATACTTTATATCTATAAGTAGGTATAGCTTAGTCAAAAAGTTTATGGGCATTCGATTGCAATAAATCATTAAAAAAAATTAGGGATTTGTAAAGTAATGCTTGTAAACTAATTAAAAAATGCATGTCTCCTTATACACATTGGTAAACAATCACATTTGAACGAGTGTACACTGCTATTTTGTACCTACCATCTATACTCAAAACTAATATTTAGTTAAAAAAAACTTGTGCAATCCTAACCGCACTTGATTTTTATTAATGCTACTCGTGCCCACAAATGCCTTTGTCTGACTACGATTATGAAAAATAACTTGGTAACTCAGATTTGTTTGATGTACGTATCACATTTTAATTTTAGCATACATGCTGTTAATCTACATTAATCATGAAGTAACCCACATGTACTGATAGAAATTTGAGGGTTAATGCTTGACTGTAAAATGTCTAGAGGGGAGTCTATTGTTGACAAGAAGCTAGGAGTCGTGGATTACGTAGACTGATTTCCCCCTATTTTTTGTTGACAGGCGGAAATTAGGCGTATGATGCAAATGCGCCAGAGAGAACTGCGTGGAAAACACGCAGCGCCTGGTGAGCCATTTGAATCCCCGACAAAACGTTCACGAGGGGAAAAGGAAAACACAATGTCGCCAGCAAAGTCTGGTGAGGGCCCATCATCGCCACATAAAGTGCAAGGTTTTATGGCGAAATTTGCTGTTTCGCCGAAAAATCCCCGGAAGAATATGGCTGCTGTGGAAACAAATAATCCGAACACGGCATCATCGTCCAAAACCAGGTTCTCAGAGCTATCGAAAAGGTATATGGATCAACAACTGTATTTCATTTGGCTATTCGTTTTACCAAAAGAAATCATAAAGAAAACAGCTTGCGATAAAAAATCTAGCGCCTCAAAGTGTTTAGCTGATATTTTACATGCCTGCATTATTTCGTATGAACACAGATTTAACTATTTAGATAATTTACCTATACCATGTTGTTTCTATTCGTAGAATATAAATTTCGCAGCGGAATTTTTCCTGTTCAAGTATCTTTTGAGAGGCATTATGACAACCCAGACTCTGCGTGCAATCTAAAAATAACACATATATTTGCTGGCATATCTGTGAGCTGCACCTTATTATCCGTTATTGAAATGCATACTCTTTTACTTCTTGCCATCGACACTGGACAAGCACTAATAACTCATATGCGGTAGAGACTCGGCTAAAGACCCAGTTTCCATAATCATGGGTCTTTGTGCACACCGGCGCAGAAAGACATAGGTGACGCTACTCGTTTAAACTTCTCAGGTAGAACAGTCGTTTCTTTCATTTGTGCATTCAACCCGACCGATAAAATGTCTTCAGTAAGGTATCTAATCCTAAGCAGACCCTCTACAAGCAAGGCGAAGTCCATCTTACATGCTGTGTCTATCGCAAAATATATAGATACCTACTACTGCGACCTGCTTGCCGTGAAGTAATCCTTTTTTCAACTGACTAGGTATGCCGAAATGGAGGACGAATTGCCAGCAAAAAAATCGTCAACTCCAACGCAGTCCACGTCCACTACGCCAAAGAGACAAGCACCTTTACCACCTACTTCTGCGTCGGCATCATCAGCGGCTTCTGGAAAATCTGGCTGTTTTTCGCGTGATCACACGGTAGCAACAGCAACAACAGCGGCAGGATGTTCTATCGATACACGTACGAAAAAGCGCGCTCCAAGTCCGCCAACCGGTAAAAGTAAAGCAAGGAATAGGGCGCCCTCACCACCACCACAATCAACCCAAAAGCGCTGGGAAGTGGTCGAACGAACCACTGTCACAATTCGTACCGCCGAAGAGAGCGTTAATATGTCGAAGAAGCAACCAGGATCGGAGAATCGCCTTGATGATTCTGTTAGCACGATGACGTTTGCCAAGGCGAAGGCTGTTGCCAAGGCCCGAGAAGAGGCTGCGGGACTTATTAAAAGCCCAAACTGTGCAAGTGCGAAGATTGTGCCGGATCCGAGCGAAGCGAAAGTGGCCGATAAAGTGAAGAACTTCAAGAAAGTCGCAGAAAAAGAATCTGTCTCAGGTACAGCAGGCGAGAGACACCAGGTTATTCCCAAATCCAGGTAGGTTCACATAATGGTACGGTTTTATCTGCTTATGCTTCCGTTATTACTTTTGCTATTTAATTACATGTTTAAATTTTATTTTGAAGTTGTTTCTTATTATTTACTGATAAGCTAATGTGTTTTTTTTTTAATAATCCTGAAGAGTAGATCTGAAAATAGGTTTAACGTATGCCCATTTCCTTCATGAACGACAATCTATTCAGGGTGGTGCCACGCGGCAAAATTGCCGAAAAGGTATCACGATTTGATGTGGACTCCTCAGGTCCACGATGTGTGATTGAGACAAAACCTCTTGGGAGCGTATCTTCTCGAGCTAAGTTCTTCGAGAGAGCGATGGAAGAAGACCGCAAGGCTGCTGATGCTGCCTACGTTCCAGTTAACCAGCGAATTGCCAAGGAAATTGAAAAAGACACCTGCTCCAACCAAGGTATTCATACGTTCGCTATTTTTAACGGACAAGTGGTGTAATTGATATAAGCAGATTTAAGCATTTAATTGACACAAAATATTAATCAAACGATCGCAACATTTGAAAAAGTATTTTGGACCACTCAGTTTAGTGCAGAGCAGACAATACACTGGTTGTTAAGTTGTTAGGTTTTAGACTTAAATTTAACTCTAATAATCGAATTAATAAAACAAGCACATCCTTACTTAAATAATTTTTGGTTTGATATTTAGTGATTAGAGTACCGAATATTTATATTAGGTTAATCACATCCGACGATGTCCGAGACAACATAATACTTCTACCAATGTTTATGTTCAACAAACATATAGTGCAAAAAAAAAGTAAAAACGACCATAGTAAGTCGTGTCCTAGTAAGCATCATATTTCTGATGTCAAACGAACACCTAGATTAAGATCGATATTCTAGTTACATATTTACCGGGTGAGGATGTAGCAAATCTTATCTTTCATAAAAACGTCTTATTGAATGTCTGAATGTGCAGCTATGTGCTCACGAATTTGTTTATTCTCTGTTATATCAAAACTAGCACACGTTTATATAAAGCCATAGGTACATAGCAAGCAATAGACAAAATATTATGATGGCTAGAGAATGTCAGCGCAGAGCAATATTCTATGGGTGGGAACACTTTGAAGCGAATAAGTTTTATCTCTTAAATAGCGACGCAAGCATCGGCTTATCGAAACGTTCGGCGTATCCAAATACTGTTCGTGTCATATGATACGCTCACTGTCGTATGGTGCTTTCGTGTGTGTTGATCGATTGGGTTGTATTGTCTCCAACATGTTTTCCCAGTACGACGCTTAAATAAACATTTATCGCTAAGCTGGCTACGCGTGATAAGCTGTATACAATAAACCATCTGCGCAGGAAGTGTCGACACACAAAATTGCTGTACAAAAATAGAATTTATTGAAGTGAACAGATAATGGCGGGCATTGAAGGCTTGGCATTTCCTGCCTTAGTATAAAAACGCATTTAAACACGAACGGTAAAAACTCAAGCCCAATTAATTTTATATACGCATATACAGAAGCGTTCGATTTCGAATCATTTTTACCGTTTCTCCTTTTTCTCTTGGAACGTACTGTACTTGGATAGCTCGTGCTATAAAGCTCGCTGTGTGCAGTACTCAGCTTTCTCCGACGGAAAAGCCGCTAGTCACGCCTCAGCCCGGTAGTTCCCAGCAACTTCAGTTGAAACCTTGCAAAACTGATGATGCTGCTGCTGCTGCTCCTTCCGTCGATGATAACGCGGGTAATGACGATCACGAAGGTACGGAGGACTTCGACAAATTTGAAGATCGCGGGAAGAGCGTTGACGAAGGTGAATCTACTGAGGATGAGCGGACCACCATAGCAGATGATCATCAAGTCAAAATTATGCAACCGTTGCTACCACTATCGCCTAAGGCCCAGAATCCTCTAGAGAAAGATGTTCCAAAGAAGGTACTTGCTAAAGTCAAAGAGATTTTACGAACTAGTAGAAAGTTTACAAAATTGATTTTTATGACCTATGTTATAGAATATGTATGTTGGCATCTTTCGATAATAAATAGATTAATATGTCATTGAAGAGACATTTGTTGTTTATCTTTGTGGCCACAGCAGAAATGTACTGTATGTCAAGCATGTTCAAATCAACGTGTTACGTTTGTTTTTATACACATATTCACAAAGCCCAAAATTATTTATTTGTAGTAGTTCGACTTGGAGCAAAATATTTTTTTTTTGTTAAATTCAAATAGATTTTCTATCTTCAAGCGAACAAAAATCTAATTCCGCATCCATGTCTGTTTCGTTTCTTTGATATGTGAACGCCCAACGTTTAGATCGGCCAAGTGTCTAATAAGCTTAAGAATCGTCTAGAGGACATGATAGTACACGGTCATAAAACCCCAGATGAGACCTATCTTTCAGTGACAGAACGCACTGAGCTTCGGCAGGAGCAGTCTGATATCGTTGAAGAGGAGGGAGAGCGTGATGATCTGGGGAGGCGTGGAGAAACGTTTATTGACGACTCTATATTGACACCAAGGCTGCCTCGAAAATCTGAACATCTGATTGATGACGATACCATCTCGAGACTAACCGGCATCCCAGAGGACGGGCATAGTACGCCTCTTGGCAAAGTGCCGCCTTCTTCCGAAGAAAGTTTGGCAACTCCGGTCACAAAGACAATGAGTCAATACCGTAGGGATGAAAAACAGGCTGCCGAACAGCATGAAGAAAACGTTAAAAGGATTGTCTATCAGATTCCCTCAAATATGATGCAGGTAAAACCAGCAAGTTTAGCTATGACATTCGTCTGTTTTTCTGACGAACCTAATGAAGGTGAAGTGGTTCTCAAAACATAAAATTAGCTTACACGGTGCCTATATCTTTAAGTTCAAATTATATATGGCTAGGAATACTTCTTGTTTTTCCTATTTAATAGCGCATATAATTTGAGATGAAAACCTTGGCGTAAATTAAGTACACAGAATCACTCATTAACGAACGCTTCATGGTGCTTATTTTTTGATACTAATATGAATACCTCAATCGCCGGTATAGTCTGTATCGTTGTGCTCTCTAAGTATATGCTTCGGTGCTCTAAAAAAATATCTTTGTGGACATATTTCGCTTACAAAAATAGTAATAATGTCAATTGTGTGTGTCAATGCTCCTTTAGGAGATACGGAAAGGCAAAGACGTTCCAATTGAGGGAGAGTCCAACTCCAGCCTTGGAGAGTACAAGCGTCAGATCGAGGAAGAAATTGTAAAGCAGGAGTCAATCATGAAGCAGACAAGTCACGCCCTGGCTGTCTGCCAAGACAATGGAGACCGTGGTAGTGAACAGCACGTTGAGGCCGAGCGTCTTTTATTAATTTCAAGTAAGTGTTTTGCCATGTTAAGATTGGACGTGCCGTAGGCAAAAGAGCCAAAGATCTACAAGAGGGATCCAAAATGAAGTTTGATTAGCTTTAATAAAATATCACGTGTTTTCATACCTGCTTTAATAAAGTCATGTTAAGTCGTTGTTTAATCTATAGACCCCGAAGATTCAACGGTTCTTCCTTTAATGAGATCTAACTCATGATTCATGAAAAGCCAGTTCCCAATAGATAGACAATAGCAAGCAAAATAAATCAGTGCGATCGCTATGGTCAACATGCGTGTTTAAACAAACGTTTTCTAATTGATACAACAATTATGAACTCTTACCGTTTTGCTTTCAGCACAGCGGCATCAGGCAGCTCAGAGCGAGCTTCAAAGGCTTAATGTTCAAAATAGCATTCCACAACCCGGCGGAACTTTGACAATATGCGATATCACGCTCCCATTCAAAAAGGAATTCCTCAAGTTGTTGCGTTCATCGAATGACCTGTTGACTAGCACACACTATTTCATGGTCCTCGTACGATCGGGAGCATCGCTTCTGCATACGGAAGTGGTATCTACAAATGAAAAGATTCACGGGGGTGCGGTCAACCTTACGCATCACATGGTACTGAAGAACCTGCAAGAGGGATTTCGAGTGTTCATCGATGTCTACGCCGTAGTGAGTATAGGTGAAAGAAAAGGCTAGATGCGAACTGGATTTGAGAAAGCCAAAAGCACCACTGCTGCTGTTTTTTTTAGGCGAGCCATCAACTTGCAGTAGGTTGATATGCATGCAGAAGTTTTAAGGATAAAAATATTTTGTAATTCTATAGAAAAGTTATCTCAGTTATAAATATATCTGTCTGCAGGAGGCGCCAAATCGAGAACACCCTGATTACGAAATGACAATGAAAAAACTCCGCCGTGAGAAGGAAAAAGAGCAAAACGCTCACAAAGGAGGTATCTTGAGCGCTTTTACACCGAATAAGAGAAAGACGCCTTCCACTCCTGGAAATGCGGGATCCTCCTATGAGAGCGTGAAAATTCGTCGGCCTTCTTTCGGACTAATTGGCAGAGTGACTCTAGACGAGAGTCTTATCCTCGTAAACAAGTAAGTTACCATTTTCTAGGATTACCTGCAATTAGCTCCTGGCTGTATTCATTCAGGCTATGGTACTTTCGTTCTATTTAGTTTACATGCGTTTTAAACATAATTCAGTAATCTGCGCAAAACAACTGACGAGACATCTTTTTGTGCTGCCATCTTATGAAAGCCGTGAGAGCCAGTATCTTCATGAACTGGTCTTCTCTATTCGCTCATGCTAACAATCTTAAACATGGGTGTAACCACAGCAAAGTGCATGTCAATCTAGACAGCCCATACCTTTAGCAAATTGCAATGTAGAGTATCGACATCCAACAAATTTAGGACTCTGTTGAGTCCTAAATTTTTAGTTCATTATGTTAAAATATAGTTTTTTGCGGTTTGATCTTCTCGAATACCAGACGCTGATCTTTGATTGTGTCGCTTCGATGTGACTAGCTCATTATGGCCATCAATAGAAAAACAACTCAATAAAAAACTAACTATCGAGAAGTGTGACATCCGCCCTTTAGCTGGCGATAAATATTAGGTTTGCAATATCTACCATGATTGAACGGCAGTTTTTTCAATCATTCAGTACGAATTATGATGATTCATTTAGTATGAAATAAACAGCTTACGCACAAATTATGGCTGAACTGTCGTTCAACAGAGAGGTGCACTACTTGGACAATTACTACAGTGAATCACCACTTGACGGCCGAATCGTGATGAAAATTCAGCTCAACATGCCCCCAAAGGTTACCCATTGCGGTATGTTGAGGCTAAAGGATTCGAGCGGTATGTTCGGCACTACCGATTTCATTAAATCATTTTTCGCCGCCATCGAGGGGAGCCGGCTCAATCTGTGGAATGATATGAGAGAGGCTGAGGAAGAACAGGTGAGTTTCCCGACGATGGCTGTTCTCGGTAATAGGACCCTTGCTTTAATTATTACTACAACATTTTTCTTACCTTACTCCTTCTAGATTGCATTAAGTAAACATTTTACTAAAACTTCTTGAGTAACTCTGAGGTATCCATTAAAGATTGAAGTAACTGGCACCCAACAGAGCGAAATGCAAAATGGTCGTCATTAGGGAACTGGTCGCTTATAGCCAAAGCCCTTTCTGAACTCGATCGTTTTTTAATGGACACGGATTTTTCGAAGCCTCAATTGGCTTGCATATAATGATTACTGCAGCTAAATATACGCGTCACTCGTGACCCATGCAGGGTCATGCATCTACAGGTCACCTTATGCTTCTGGAAGTACGGTTTAAGATCTCACAGACATGTCCACGCAATGCGAGCCTGTCAAATGAAGCACCATGTTGAAGATTCGGAGGCTTTTTGAAATATTGAATATAAAGCTGCACGCCGAGATATGGAAGGGGCTACCCGGTAAATCTTAGCTGATGACTTACAAGTTTGAGGCACTGTAGATCCTGCGCATATATATTAAACGGCCACACTAAATCAGTGTAAACGTCTTACTGCATCTTTGATTGATCATGGTGTTCAACTCACAGTTTGATACACACCGCGCATTAGGGATAATGCAAACTTTCAAACTAGTATGATCTTATATCGGTGCCCCTTCCCCCCCCCCTTTTCGTATTTTTTGGATCAGCGCACGTCAGACGGGTATATGAATTATGATGCCTCAAACAAAATTCTTTTCGTGAAGAAGTTGTTCCTTAACTGTTCAAGGTTTTGTTTTACTAGAATTGGACACTATGCTAATTCCAGACTCTTCCTGCGTGGCTCCGGCACTAATAATTGATAGCTATAATCTTCTTCACATCAAGATAATGAAATAAGTTCATACTTGACTGAAAAATACGTTTCTATTTCATACGTACTGTCGTCATCTGTTGTTGTTGCTACTGCTGTTGTTGTGACGACGGTAATGAACATATTGATGCCTATTTTTTTTCTCTCCATTTGCTTTTTCAGGAACCGTTGCGGTCCTTTGATCTTGCGCAGGTCGCTCACACTGTGCGGGTCCAACAAAGTTTCAATTTTTTTTACTTCCCAATCCGACTTAACAACGGACTCGAGCTTCTGTTTTTAACATATAGCGAAGCGGAATCGAGCGCCTGGACGGGGAAACTCAACGCCTGCATCGCCAGCGTGAAAAGTCGAAAATATTAGAATGTGGTTCATTGTGTGGTAGCTATGCATATTATTAGGTACTACTAGTCGAAAATACTCGATATAGATCGCTACAATCGATTAGCTTGCCGATATTCGTTATCGCCAATGATACTTATAAAGGGATGCATTTCTAAAATCTTTTACATGTGCGGCTTTATGTCGATGACCAATGCAGGAAGATGCGTCCGTGATGTGTCGGTTATTCTTAATGTTTACCATTTAAAATCAGTCTGTATTTGTTGAATAAGGGTCGTAACCAGCTGGATGGCCCCAAGGGTTAATAGAAACAAGAGAAACATAAATACAGGAGACAACACGGAATACATAAAAGCACCTGTAATGAAAATCGAATATGATCATTTGGTGACTTCTTTTACCAGCATGTTCTACAGAACACACATTTTCGTGCATCAAGTTGGAAATAAGTCGCTAATAAGCTTATTTTTATCTCTTACTAACGTGCGCTTTCTATATGACTCAGCAAGGCTGAATATTATTTTTCCTTAAAATTAACACAGAACGTGAAGAATTCCAGAAAGCAGGAACTGGAACATAATTAAATATGGGACGTGTTTAAAACCTAACTGTTGCAAAATTTCTGCGAGAGGATAGGGAAAAGAAACAGCGAGGGTTTTAGATAAGGACTTACAAAAATGAACTTCCTCTGAAAATGCGGTGGAATGGGTCACTGTTTTTAAAAACATCATACGCTACATATTTAAAAGCATCATACGCTACTCTATGTATAAAGAAGAATATAATAATATACGATAATGCTTGCAAGTAAATATGCTATTCGCGTCTATAGAAACCTCTAAAAGGAGTAGTTATTTGCTTATCGGTAGCGTAGACGTTTTTTTGCGTAAAAATTTTCGAAAGGTAAAGTAAAAGGCTGTTTTTAACGTTTATTAGCGACAAGTTTATTTAGCATCGTGATGTCCATATTTCTTTTCGACTTCATTCGTCATAGATGTGCAACTGAGCCAACGTTAACGGAAGCAGCAGCCGTGGTGGTCGTAGTCAAAGTCGTCCAGCAGTCTCCCACTACCGGCAATTTCAACACCAACACACTCACACACGCACATACTGAAACTTGACTGGAAATCAATGACTTCGTCAACCATTCGTTAAGGAAACGAGGCCAGCAAATGATAATTACTTTAACTCTGCCCGTAAACGGTAAAGGGTATCATCGTATCTTCCACATCGATTTCGATTTGAAGCTCTGATAGCAACCTGCTAATGTAACATAGCGACACCTCTAGCTGGCTGATAGCCACGTACTAGCTAAGCAACAGGTGCTCGCTCTTAGCTTCCAAATTCACGGGTGCTCTATTACAGATAAATTTTCTTCGCCGCAATAAATAACGCGACCTCCAACGGAGCAGGTGGACCTTGCCTTGGCAGATCCCGTATCATCTGCTAGTTAAAGTTCTAGCCTTACCCAACAGCGATTTATTCCTGCTACGGCTTGGCACAGATCCTGTCCTTTTCTCATAGTCACGTAGTTGCATCTTGTCAACTTATTGATCGCTTCGCTGTCACTTAAATCGATACGATCCTAGGCAACTTCACACTGTAGACATTCGTTTGTTTCATTTCTGCCAAACAATATAGTCTTTTCGTCGCTTAACTTTGCGTGATTTCTTAATACATATATTCATGTAAATTAGCGGGCATTGCACGATTTTTTTTTATCTCGCTTCGTGCCCTTTCTTCTTTGATCCATTTCTCTAATTTTTCTTTCATAAACTGTGCGTCTTTGTCAAAGGTGTCGGTGTCAGTTCGATTACTGCTCACTTTCATTCTACGCTAATACCCTCGATAATTAATCGTGACCTCTTCTATGCTACAATTTACTAAGATAAACATTTAGGATAATACATATAGGCAAGAGACACTCGCTGAGAGTTGCTACGACCATTTTAGCTGCCAACGCCACCGGCTCCGTTTGCCTTCGCTGCAATTACCACCATGACTGGCGCGCCATGATCGTCATTGTATCACTACATCTTCATTATTTTCCAACAGCATTTTACTGTGTCGTTATCTGCCAACCGCGATCGACTGCTTTCGATCATCCAATCACCCCATTGTCAGCAGAAACCAGTTGTTATTACCCACTGTGTATGCAGTAATGCATCCCGCCTGTGTGTGTGATTTGTACAAATCGCTAGATGAATTTGTCCTACTAATATATATA